GGGTCTTTCGGTAAAGTCACGTAGATGGTTCAAAGAAAATAACAAAAAACTACGACGTTTCTATCACAACACAAGCGATCGTCATCAGCGATCGTCATCGTCATCAGGATGACGATAACGATCGCTTCTGTTGTGATCGAAACGTCGTAGTTTTTTGTTATTTTCTTTGAACCATCTACGTGACTTTACCGAAAAACTCAAATAATATGAATTCCTGCAGTCACAAAAGCTTTAAGTCAAGATTTATGCAGACAATATTTTAAAACTATTCTTACACATCAATATGTTCTGATTCCAATGGTGCATAGTTTCAGCTACTGTTTCGCTTATCGTATACCCATTAATATATGCAGCATCCTTTATTTAACCAGAAGGTAAAAACAAATTTGGGATGTGACTTAGAACTTTCCTTATCTCCATAGCCTCTTTTAATCTGACAAAATTATATCTCTATATGTTTATTCACACAAACATTGAAAACAAATATTTTACAAAATAAACCAATGTCCCTTTACGTAGGTGATAATTTGCAATGTTGTGAAAAACTACAGTTTTTTTACGCATTTTTGGATTAACGGTTCAAGTAAAGCGTATTAATTCCCTTCATGTAGCAAAGGCGTTGTGGTATCAAAGGTCTGAGATTTCAACGGAAAAGCGCGGATCATGTTTTACATAACCTGCACGGAACGTATGGTTAGCGCCCCATGCCAATACTTTTTTTCCACGAGTAAACATTTTGTTTAAACAATTGCAAAAGTTCAACTTACAGAAAATATTGTTCTGGCCTGACACCCCACTGAGAATGAAGCTATGCCCCCGTGCCGTGTGGTTCTGGCTTGCGCTGCAAGGAGGTATAAACATTCCCATGGGGAGTGGGCGGTGGTTTCCAACGTGACGCCCGACTGCAAGGTTCAATAAAGCAAAGGGTGACAAAGGTGTCGTGGGCGTCGCAGTCGCGGGGTGATCAGGGCCCGACGTCGTTCATGCCACCACACCTTGCCGTTGTTTCTGCTGGTTGATCGCAGAAGGAAATAACAAGGATAATAAAAAAAAATAACAGTTTATGGTTGGGGTGCTGGGTGCAGCAGAAAATAAGGTGCAATGCTCATGCGTGAACGGCAACTCCAATATTCTATTTCAGCCACTAATGCAGATGAATCCCATCGGATTTCTAAGGAGTTGCATCCATAGTGCCGCGTGCCGATCTGCTTAATCGGCCTTCCACAGCTTAGCGAACACTGTGCTTTAGAATTATCTGCCACGGGAGCCACAGAGCCCGCACGCATGGCGTTTGTGCGACGGCTCATCTGTGTCCATGAGCCACTCGCTGCTACGATGAATGAAACCAGTTTCCGCAGACGCGAATTCGTGATCATGAGTTTGACTTTTGAGACATTCTCAATGAGATTCGCAGCATTGTCGAGGGGAGGGATCTGATTGTTACGGTGAGGGTTACAGACAGGCGTGCCACGCTAGTTCCATGCAACAAGCGTGAAACCGGATTGCGTGCGCCCCTGCTCGCTGCCACAGAGCCGTTCGTTAAAGCGCTGCTCGCGGCCATTGGAAAAACAACTTTTGCTCTTCTGTATAACGGGCAAAGCAAAGGATTATTGTACACGCCATGGCCATACTGCACGGTCCTGTTTATACTGATGCCTCGCAGACTTTTAAGGCATTCGTTTATGATGAGCGAGTTTGAGTCTGAGCCTTAAGCCTCTTTGGGTGTTCTTACACAGCTCCACGGGCTCAGCTGAGCACACACAACCGACCCCACACCCCTCTCGTTCTCTCTCCAGCACTTGGCCGTGCCGCCCACGTAGAGACAACAGCTGCCAAAAGGGAACAGCCACCACCACCACCACCAAATATGCACAAAAAAATATTCCTCTCTCGCTACTGTACTCGACTGTCAGTCGCGTGGTAGAATATCTCAAATATCGCACGCAGATCTTCGCCGCCAGATGACACAGGAAGGCCTGATAACGGAACGTTTTATATATATAGACATCGGGCGCGGATGCTTCAGATATTCAACTATAACTTTATACTGCCCAGAAGTGGTTGCTCTAAATAGGGCGAGACATGTCGCGTGCTTGAGCCATGATGCGCGCCTTCAAAAGGAAACACAGCCTAATTTGGGGCTCAAGCACCAGGAAGTTTAATTTTATTAACGTTGCCATAGCGAAGCGCTGTCAACAGAGGCGAAAGGGGCTGTGGGGCCATCACTCCGCACACGACCACAATGCAGGAAACGTGGAACAAGGGGTGGGTGGGTGGGTCCGTGGGTGGGTGGGTGGGAGCCGGGGTCATGGGTGCTCAGGGCGGAGCAGAACCACCGCAGCTGCCCAAGAGCATCAGCGTTCCCTCCTGACTAGAGGGTGATAAAATATCTGGGCGGCCGTCTGGAACGCTCTTCCTTCCGATATGAGGAAGCCACCGGAGCTATAAACACGTTTACATCTCGAGTGAAAACGCATTCCTTTAGAACTGCGTGTTGTGTTTAGTTTGTTGTCCTACCCCCGCACCTTCGATTAGCGCAGATTGGCTACGTACGGTGCGAACGAAGTTCAACATACATGCAGAGTTTCATTCAGCTTCATTCGTGGTCTATGTATGTTGAACTTCTTTCGCACCGTACGTCGCCAACCGTGCTAATTGGAGGTGCTATGGGCCCCACCGAGACAGATGATGTAGATTCCGATTGAAATCTGCGGTCTTTCTTTACCTTACTGAACAGGAAATCATTCGGCAAAAATTCCTGCCGCCAGATAGTCCCACAGGACCGTAGAGTTAATCTGCTCTGCACTGGGGCTCAGCTGGATTGTAAATGTAAACGTCTTTCGAGTAGAAAATACATCTCTAAATTATGTATATGTAGCTAGCCTCTGTGGTGATGTGGAAATGAACACAATGATTATATGCGGGTGTATGTGGCTAACCATTCACCTTGCTCCACGCAGATACCATGGGTCACTATGTAAGCCGTATTCTGTCAACTCATCGTCTTTTCATTAACCAGAGCCCAAGGGGATTCATTGTTTTAGTAAGAAAAACTCCAACTTTTTAAAGTAGGCAATAATATACCTCGTTATTTACTTTGTTAATGGTATTCTCTACAGCGAGGCGAATTATTATTTTGTTACAGATTATTTAAGGGAAGGGTTGTTAAACATTTACAAACGCTGGTCATTTAGGCTTAATTTTCCTTTGCGATGTGGCTTTTAGAATGACGCTATTTAAGGGTCTTTAATACAAACAGTAGACCACAACACTTTGGTCATTCCCTCGTGACCAGTGGCTCTGGGAATCGAACCACAGTCGTTCTGAAAACAGGTCCAGCGGCGAGTGTGCTGACCTTGTGCCAAATGTGAACGCACCAAATGGAGATCAATACACACGCATGGAGATCAATACACACGCACATCCACCAGAATGACCGCCAATAACTAAGCACGAACACCGGCAGTCCTCCGATTGAGCTCCGCTTGCCAAGCCACGGCTTCGAATAAAAATAGGTGTTGCAATGTGCTGTGGAATTAGATTCCAAACCAGCGTTAATTTTACTACTTGGCGTTGGCCTGCGCAGCAGCTGGGATAAATCAGCGGCAATATCGTCAAGGAGGCAACGGTCGGTCGATCGGGTGGAGCATTCCGCGCTTTGGGAACAGCAACAGGAAAGGGGAAACCCCCCGTCTCTTCTTTTGTATGAATACAGTCTCTCGTGTCGTGTCACCTCACGTCTGCCATGATCTGTCATCCCCAAATCGAGAATTCCGTGCTCGCCCCTCCCGTCTCTAATGATCTGCCACAGCGTCTCCGGTGCTCTGCCACGTTTAGCCTCTTCCCATCTCCTCGACCCTCTTACACAGTGCTGACCTCATCACACTTCATCACACAACGTATTCGGATCTCGAGCAGAGCAGTGCACCCCTTTATGTGAACAAACGGCCTACGGAAGCAGATAACGCAGAGTTACTGTTTGAGATCCCTTCATTGACCCGTGATTCACAGAGGGCGACACTGCCCCACTCGCCCCGCCACTGTTGTGGTCGATTTTGTTTAAGGCTGAGATAGTGTCTGTGGTTGAGATGGCGTTCCTGTCCCTTTCCATTCATGTGGTTTGAGATTGTGATTGGCGTCGTGTTTGTATTGTGTAAGCAGTGGCGCAGACGCTCTGTTTGTGATTGTGTGCTGCGGTGCAGGTGTTTTAATTGCGGTTCTGGGCAGAGCTGTACCGGGATGTCCCCTCCACCACGGAACAACCCTGGAAGAGGTTAAGACGACAAATAAACGGTGGCTCGAGAGACGGAGAAAGGGATGATGGCAGGAAGATAGGCGATAGGGGAATACTCACCACTGCGCTTGGTAGGGGATTGAAAGGTGTGGTCCGAGTATGGTGACTGGAATATAGGGTGTCGAACCAGGATTGTGGGGTGGTCCCATGGAGATCCCAATGTTGCAAGGCGGGGACCAGAGATGTTTAGGGTGTGGCCGCAGGGATGCTGAGTCTGGTTTTATGGGGGTCCCTGGGATGCTGGGTTTTTTTTTACCAGGTGATTGGAAAAATCTATTGTGTTGCAGGCAGGGGGTTCGCCGGGCGAGGCCACTATCGCATTCACAGATGGGGAAGAGAGGGTCAAGGGTGGGGGGGATGCAGGACCACTCGGAATTGGTAATTACAGAATGCAACCCAGACCTCCGACTGTTTCTCCATCTGCGAGCATTGATATTTCATCTGCCACTCATCATCCTACGCGCTATCGCTTTTCACGACTGATCTCGGGGGTGGTGATCGAGGTCCCAACGATGCTGGGTGTGGTCCTCGGGAAGTTCCCCGTCGATGAAGCGTTGGGGGGCCACGGACGGCCGGGCTCAGGGTGTGTCCTCGGTGCCGGAGCGGGCCGCCCGCCCGCCCGCCCGGCGGGGGCGGGCCGGGGAGGAGCCGCGCTCTTTAAAAGGCGGGAGGGTCGCTCCGGCTCTTCTCGCACGGACCAGCCGCTCTCTTGTCCCGCAGTCAAGCACCACCGCCACTTGTAGCAACACCGCCACCACCACCAACAACAACTCATAACGTCGCCATGTCGTCCTCGCAGCGAGTCTCCTCGTACCGTCGCACGTTCGGCCCCGTGACCAGCTCGACCGCCACCCGCTCCTACTCGTCCCGCTCCTCGGGCTACGGCGGCTTCGGGGGTGGAGGCGGCTTCGGGGGAAGCAGCATCGGAGGTGGCGGCGGCGGCATGATCCGATCATCTCGCTCCGTGGGCTTGGGCAGCAGCGCCCAGTCCGGCTTCGGCGGCCGCAGCTCGTCGGCCTCCTACGTGAAGGCCCTGTCGGGCCAGAACGTGGACTTCTCGCTGGCGGACGCGCTCAACGCCGAGTATCGCACGACGCGCACCAACGAGAAGGTGGAGCTGCAGGAGCTCAACGACCGCTTCGCCAGCTACATCGACAAGGTGCGCTTCCTGGAGCAGCAGAACAAGGCGCTCACCGTGGAGATCACCCAGCTCAAGGGACGCGAGCCGACCCGGGTGGACGGCATCTACGACCAGGAGCTAAGGGAGCTGCGCCTGCAGGTGGACCGTCTCACGGGCGAGAAGGCGCGCGGCGACGTGGAGCGAGCCAACCTGCTGGACGATCTGCAGCGCCTTCAGCAGAGGTGAGAGGGGGGCCTCTGGGTGGGTGGCGGCGGCGTTAGGGGGGTGGGTGGACGGGACGCATGTGTGATGGAGGGATGAGATGAACGGGCCAGGTGGAGGACCCTAGATGTGGTGAATTCGGGGTGAGCGGAGGAGTCGCGGTGCAGAGTTGAATGTGCAAGGAAGGTGGAAGTTGTACGGTGGAGGAAACTGGGGGTGTGTGACTCGGGGTGGAGTTGTGTGGTCAAGGGTGCATGGCTCGCGCGGGACGTTAAATAGTCGAGGACCTCTGGTGTACGTTTATGAATGAACATCACGGGGTGGACATCGTAAGAGTGGACGAGTATCGGGTGCAGATATCTACTTTGTGAACGCGACTAGTTGGACGTCGTCTGGCGGTGACGGTCTAAAATCGCAAACTGAACACGTTCCTTTTTATAATCTTTCCCTTAAAAAAACGCATCAAATATCATTGCCCGAAACGTCGTTTATAAATGACCATTGGCCGAAACGTCGCCAACGGCACGCATGTATATATCATTTGTTTCGCCTTTAAGACCGTCTTTATTGGCGAATGTGCCGAGTTTTTTCCCCCCCCGTTTATGCGCCACTGCCAAGGCGGTCGTTTCTCATTGTTTCAGTGGGTGGGTGGAGTGGTGGGTGGGTGGAGTGGTGGGGATGGGTGGAGTGGAGGGGGTGGGATGGGTGGAGTGGAGGGGGTGGGATGGGTGGAGGGTGTGGGGATGGGTGGAGTGGAGGGAGTGGGATGGGTGGAGTGGAAGGTGCCGCGTCCCGTTATGAGGCGCCGCCACCACGGGATGATGGAGCCCTCCCCCCTCTCCCTGCCGGGTCTCTTCCCAACAAGCAGCGCCGCAAGGGCGTTGTTCCAAGAAGCCGTAGTAGACAAGGGAAGGGCATCTGTCAAGTTGGGCAGGAGTGAGCGGGTGCAGCAGAGGGCAGTAGAGGACGCGGCGGGCGGGATTAACGGATTCCAGCAGATTCCAATGTGGCGGTGGTGGTGGGGCCCCCCCACGCACCCCATCGGTGACTCCCCGGGTCCATGCTGGGTGGGATGGGGCTGGTGGGGGCAGGGAGGGAGGAGGGACCGGGCGTGGTCCGGAGTCTCGCTTTGTTCTCGCTTCTGGCTGTGGATGATGTTGCTCCACCACCCCCCACCCCCACCTCTCATTGCTTCCACTTGATTTGTTTACCACACGCGTTTATTATTACAAAGATAATTCGTTGCTCACCGTGATGACTTTTTTGTGATTGGGCCTCGTGCATCGCAGGCTGACCCATCTGCACGTTTAATTAATGTGCACGATGCCTCCCTTAAGATAATTGTGTGTAACAGCTGTATCATGTGGCACATCACTGCCATCTTGTGGTAGATGGCCCACACTCCCTGCGACGCCCTCGGAAATGGAGGCAGGGGGGAATTGTAGCAGTGGACTCAATGTTGATACCGTATGTGGCGTATGTTGAACTTCTTTCGCACCGTACGTAGCCAACCGTGATAATCGGAGGTGTCGTCGTCTTTTCTGCTGCAGGCTTCAGGAAGAGATGGGCGGGCGAGAGGAGGCTGAGAAGAACCTGCGCGCCTTCCGTCAGGTGTGACCTCGTTTAAGTGGCCACACGTCCACAAACAATTGACCAAAAACGCAAGCAACTGCGTTGGCGGTTGTAGACCGTGAACCCACCACATGAAGCACTCACACTGCCTTGTACCTTAACCATATTCTAGTAAATGATAATTAATATGCTGAGATTTTTTTGTTTGTTTAAAATGAATTGTCTTTATTGTGACTAGATGTCTATACTTGTACATTACACACCAAACGTGATCTCAACAAAAGACACTGGCGTAGAAGAGGGCTAATTTCTCTGTCCTGTTGATTCGCAACCTTGCCTGAACTCGTCCACCCGTTCTTTCAGGACGTAGACGATGCAACCCTGGCACGTGTGGACCTGGAACGCAAAGTGGAGTCTCTGCTGGAGGAGATCGCCTTCCTCAAGAAGATCCATGATGAGGTACACGCACGCAGCACACACACACAGATGCACACACGCCATGCGTGTACCCGGCACGCACGGCGGTGACTACCTGTGGCGTGTCGGTGCAGACGCTCGGTCCTCCAGCCGTGCATAAGTGTGCCCATGATACAAAGGATGTCAAAATAAAAATCTCGTGCTGTTAGTGAGCACCTAATGAAGGAGAGCACACGTAGGGGATAGTGGGGCCAGGTAAGATGCCCAGCTGCCTCAGTCTCCCCCCAGTGCAGATGTTTTTACACAGCGCAACACGTGCTTATTTAAAGCCAAGACAGGTTCATATATTCGTCACCGATATTGTCCGTGAATGGGAATCCAACTCGTGTCGCCGGGTTCATCGTGACCCCCACGTGTCTCCCACACGGCGCGCGTTGTGTGTGTGTGTGTGCCGTCCAGGAACTACGCGAGGTGCAGGTGCAGGTGCAAGAGCAAGCGGTGCACGTGGAGTACGACATGCAGCAGACTGCCAAGCCGGACCTGACTGCGGCGCTGCGCGACATCCGCGCCGAGTACGAGGGAATCGCCTCCAAGAACGTGGCGGAGGCCGAGGAGTGGTACAAGTCTAAGGTGTGTAGAAGAGACAGCCCAGGCACCTATTTGCACGCCCGCACGCCTCCAAAATAAGCGACCGGTGCATCCAAATGGTTTAAATGAGTCTCTGGTTTTGTATTTATTTAAGCCTCTTTTTTTTTTTACAGGTTTGAGAAATGAAAGCATTTTGGGAGATTATGGTCTTGAAATGAAGGAAGAAAAATAATGTTTTTCTGTGCTACAGTTTGCGGATATGAGCGAGGCAGCTTCCCGCAACAACGACGCTCTGCGTGCAGCCAAGCAAGAGCTGAATGACTACCGTCGCCAGGTGCAGGCCCAGCAGTGCGAGATTGACGCACTCAAGGGCGGGGTAAGTGCACACTCGGGGGACGGACGCTGTCACACCACAATGTGCAAGCGACTCGCACTAATATCAAAACATAAATCTATGTACAGACACACTATTAAAAAATACTAAACTCATTTGTCCCAGATATTGTGCAAGCGTACCGTATGAGCGCCGATTGTGATCCTCTGCATCCGTGTTCCCCTGCCTTCCCCCCCACCCCCTCGCCAGAATGAGTCTCTGGAGCGGCAGATGCGCGAGATGGAGGACCGCTTTGGGCTGGAGGCGGCCGGATACCAGGACACAATTGCGCGCCTGGAGGACGACATCCGAAACCTCAAGGATGAGATGACGCGCCACCTGCGGGAGTACCAGGAGCTGCTCAACGTCAAGATGGCGCTCGACATCGAGATTGCCACCTACCGCAAGCTTCTGGAGGGCGAGGAGACTCGGTACTAGGCACACGACGGGCGCTGGTTCATGTTTGACACGGTGTGATAGACCGACCCCGACCTTTGTATTTTAGAGCTTTAGTATGAAACGTCCTGACGCTGTATATTTTGTCACCCTTAGGATTGCTCTTCCGGTGCAGCAGTTCTCTTCTACGTCGTACAACTTCCGAGGTATAAGCAGTGTGCACCGCACTTTGGGGTGTATCGGAATTCTGTTATACGGTGCACCCATATCACAAATGCGTGCATAGAGTGGAAGTGTGTGTGTGTATACTTGATTACAATATGATTATCCCCACACAGAATCGAGCCCTGCCATTGATCGCCTGGCCAGCACCTTCAACAAGAAGACGGTCCTCATCAAGACCATTGAGACCCACGACGGCGAGGTATAGTGCAGTCGCACCAAGACCGCACAGATTGACCACACCGTGCACAAGTTGGTTGGGCTCGGTGCAATACCATGCGACATCGGTGCCAGCTCTTGTCCCTCGCATTCTGTGCGTGCGATCTGTTTTGCTCCAGGTCATCAATCAGTCGACTCAGGAGGAGGAGATCTGAGCTTCCCGTCGTCCACCTGCATGGCAGCTCCATCATGCGGACGCTGTTGAACGTCTGATGAATGGTCCGCTTGCATGGAGAGGAGGCAAACACAGCGACAGCCTGCAAAAGCATCTTGTCTAGCTGCTGTACCAACCCCATGCCCTTAGTCCTCACTTCACCATGACACATCGATCCTCTATCCTTTCTTTGAAGAGTAGGTTCAGCTCGTGCAGACCGGCCTCCTTTGTTAATGTTCATTTTTGTATACTTACCCTTACGTACAATCAGACCTATCACCAAAATAAAGATGACTTTCCAATTAGAGTAGCAGAGTCTTTGTTTTTATTCAAAAGGTTAATGCAGAACTTTAAATGCTTGATTTAACAATAACTTGGCCAAGATTGGAGGCATTTATTGTCAATGAATTGTCTGTTTAACCCAGAGTTCGATAAATATAATGTATGCCCCAGCGCAATTCGCCTTTTACATGTCCCAATCTAAAATTACACTAAATAGTGCACAAAACTGATAATTTGTAAATCTAGACCATGATGGGGTTGTGGCATAATAATTTCGGAAGCTCTACACTAACCCTGACCAGGATTTGAGGCTGAGTAGGATGAGTGGGTTTATCAGAGCCAGGGGCATATTGTCGGAGCTAGGAAGAGGAGTACTTGCTGTGTATAGATGGAAAATAAATGTTGTTTAGACTGTGCAGCCCAACATTTCCCCTACACTACGTGTCCTGTATACTAGCCCAACAAATTAATGTATTGTCAATACTCAAGTGCACATGCTGTAATGTGAAAGGTCATTGAGAGCTGCGGTTCCCCCAGTGGAGACACAAACGGCTCTTGTTGGATGTGTTATGTAACCATTGGCTGGCCAATTTTTTTTTCCCCCAGGCTCTTGCTCATCCTTGTAGGTCCCATAGGAGTCCATGGGCACGCTGGTGTGTAAAGCATTTGCTGTGCAATTTGGTTGGCCACAAGAACTGCTCACCGTTGCGTTACTCTTTTGGGTGAAGTGTATCGCATGCAGAGGAGAACATCTAGTCCTGAGTTGTCTGAAGCAACAAGTACATCAAGCATTCAACAATAGCGAGGCCGTCTGTAATGAGCCAATTTGCTTCCGTAACCTTTGCAATCAGTCGGGAGCATATTGAAGCAAAAGTCTGGCAAAGGGGAGTCCTTTGAAAAGTATGATAGAAACTGTAGAAATAATATCTTAAAACTGAGAAATTAATTCACCTTCGACAAACGGTTGATGTAGAGCTTACGACGATGGTTGGGATTGATGAAGCTGGCAGCAGAGTGCACCTGCTCTGCTAAGCCACAAGCCGGAGGTCGTATACTGCCAAATATGCAATTGGTAAAGTTTGCGCATGCTCCGATAGCGCACCCACCTTGCTGAACACCATCGGCTGAATTCTAGTAAATAACCACTTTAGTTGACTAATGATAGCTGGTGGCTTGTGGCTGTAGTTTGGGGCACTGAAAGCTGTGCCTCGGGGTTTTGTGTTTTTACAATTGCAGGTGATGTGTAAGTGCTTAATTGGAAAGGGGAATTAGGATGTGAGAATAAGTTGCTGCTAGCGTGTGGCTAGATCAGTTGTACTTGGGAAGGTGCACGGATTCTATGGCTGTAAACCCTGAGCTCTTGAGCTGGAAATTATTTGACTAAATTACTAATGAATGTTGACCGCAGCTATTGAAGTACTGTGGTTGAGAAAAGTTTCAACGTACCCATGCAAAACAAGACATTGCAACAAAACTGCTACAATTGGTGTTTGGTATTGATACAACACTAAGGCTACTGCTGCAGTATATTACAATGGTGTTGTGATGATTAAACACGTGACGGTAGAATGCTAGATTGAAGTCAAAGTTCATGGAACTAACATTGGATTAAACTTTTTTAATTCGCTTACGGACTCGCCTCATCGTCATGACGAGCGTGGTGATATTGTTATTTTTTTGCCATTTGACGTCCAACGTAAAACTAATGCTTCGGCAAAACCGGACGTGTTCAATGCCGTCACTGGATCTCTCGTCGCTATGTGGCGATCGGACAAGGTATGTGTATTTAACAACAGCGCATGCTTGTGCGCATAATACGGAATTTGGAATAATGGTGGTGGTGCAGTGGTTAGCACATTGTGCTAATAGTCTCTTTGACCTGAGCTTCAGTCTGCGTCGCAGCTGATGGTGGTGATTCATATCTGAGCCGGTTTTGGGTTTGGCCCCAACCACTTCGTTAACCCACACTGACTGGTAACACGACCATGATTCGCACGACGTAGGGTGTCCTCCAGCTGTGAATGGACAAGGGGCTGTCATCTTTGTAATTAAGATAATATTTATTTCTGGGAAAGCGTTGGTGAGGCCCAAGACTCGCCATCATGAGGGTCCTGCAGTTGGGATGCTTGGTCATTTATTTTCTTGAAAATTACTGCCATAAGCCTTCATCTATTCCCTCCTTTAGCTGCTACTCCGTCATGAGGCTTGACCACTGGCCTTCATTACTTTTTCATGACGTGGCCTGCCCAAGCCGCCTTTACTTTTTTAAAATTGTCAATACGCTGTCTCACTTGCATAATTTAAAATATGCATTTCTTCATGCTTTTTGGAGCATGTGGGAGCTTTTGTTTAATGGTCTTTGGTGTCAAAGTGCATGTTTCTGAGTATGGTGCCCTACTGAGAAACGGCGGCGACCCATGTTCGATTCTCGTTCACGGTCAACACCAGTGACTTATCTGAACCTGGCCTGGGCCTCCCCTAGGTCTACTCAGCCTTAAAAAATGAATACCTGGTACGGTGTGTATACATCGCAACGAAGGAGACAAAGGTGGCCGGGCGTGGTGCTGACCACCCACCCCCTTCATATTGTGCTCGCTAATAGCGCTTGCTCTCAACAATCTGTTAAGTAATATTTGCTCAGAGAAAGGTTCTTCATTAGGGATACGGTTGATTGTTTTTCAGCGCCTTAACTTCACGTGCGTGAATTGTTTTGCTCATTCCTGGACCCTTAATTGGAGAAAATTTCACTGTTGTGAATAATTGTGTGGTTTCGGATAAGTTTCCATACCATCGACCAAACTATTAATCCGTTTCTGGGAATATCAAATGAATAAATAATATATTTTTATTTAGACTGCACACTGAAAGGGGAATTTTACTCAGTGGAAAATTGCAATAAGCCAGTCTCATTGAGCCAGGTCTAAATAAAAAAATATATTAACAAAAAACCCATTTACATACACGCTTATATAAGACAATGGGTCAGCTACACTGAGACTACATGGGAAACGTGGAAAAATATACATTCGGAGGATTCGAACCAGGAGACACGCTCACGCCGAGTTTATCACGGTCACGACCCAAGTGGCAATGGAAACACCGCGGGTGGCACGTTCCGTTGCGCGCAGCGAGGCTGGCTGGGTTTCTGTGCCCGCGTGGAATAACTTCATCATCTGAGGATTCATCATCTGAGCGTGCCTGCTGTTGTGACCCGTGGCTCTCAATGTGCACCAACGTGCGGTAAGGAGGCGAATTTACCACTGCAAAGTGGGGTGGGGGAGCGGGGGTCGTCTTGGTCTGAGCCATGACGGTGACGCTCAAGGGCTGCATCTGTCTCATGGAGGAACGAAACAGAAAGACTACTCCACAAATATGGCTGTCGCCTGATGAAGCTAGTTGTTATTACTGGCGAAACGTCGTACTCAGATTGAAAATGTTGTGGCTCGGCTCTCCAACACACCGGTGTGCTGTTCTAGTGACGAATTGGCCACGTTCTGTTTACTTGACAACCCTTACTAGTTGGCTGTGTCAAGAGGATTCGTGCACTACACGTGTTGGTGGTTATTGTATGAATAAAGTTCCCTTGGCAGGACGACTCATGTGGACTCTATTTAATAAGGTTAAAAGTTTTGCTGGCTGGCTGGAAGGGAGGGAGGGACAGTCAAGCGTCCAAAGTACGTGCGGGTTGCTAGTTTATAGTAAAGCAAAAACTTTCTTGAAAATGACAAAATGAAAAAAGCTACGTTTCGGGCAATAACCCTTATCTTAGCTATAAATAAGGGACATTGTCCGAAACGTCGCCTGTCCCATGTTTTTGGTCCTTTTAAGGCCACACAGTTGTTATTGACGATTTTTTATTTGCGTCTGTGCACTACTGCCAGCGCAGTATATCGCCACCACATGGTTGTGTGTGACGTGATATCGTATCGTCTCACGATATCGTATCGTCTCACGATATCGTATCGTCCCACGATATCATATCGTCTCACGATATCGTATCGTCTCACGATATCATATCGTCTCACGATATCGTATCGTCTCAAACGATATCGTGTCGTCTCACGATATCGTGTCGTCTCACACGATATCGTGTCGTCTCACACGATATCGTGTCGTCTCTCACGATATCGTATCGTCACACGATATCGTATCGTCTCACGATATCGTATCGTCTCACGATATTGTGTCGTCTCACACGATATCGTGTCGTCTCACGATATCGTGTCGTCTCACGATATCGTGTCGTCTCACACGATATCGTGTCGTCTCACGATATCGTGTCGTCTCTCACGATATCTTATCGTCTCACGATATCTTATCGTCTCACGATATCGTATCGTCTCACGATATCGTATCGTCTCACGATATCGTGTCGTCTCACACGATATCGTGTCGTCTCACGATATCGTGTTGTCTCACGATATCGTGTGGTCTCACACGATATCGTGTGGTCTCACACGATATCGTGTCGTCTCACACGATATCGTGTCGTCTCACACGATATCGTGTGGTCTCACACGATATCGTGTCGTCTCTCACGATATCGTGTCGTCTCACACGATATCGTGTCGTCTCACGATATCGTATCGTCTCACACGATATCGTGTCGTCTCACGATATCGTATCGTCTCACACGATATCGTGTCGTCTCACACGATATCGTGTCGTCACACACGATATCGTGTCGTCTCACACGATATCGTGTCGTCTCACACGATATCGTGTCGTCTCACGATATCATATCGTCTCACGATATCGTATCGTCTCACGATATCGTGTCGTCTCACACGATATCGTGTCGTCTCACACGATATCGTGTCGTCTCACACGATATCGTGTCGTCTCACACGATATCGTGTCGTCTCACACGATATCGTGTCGTCTCACACGATATCGTGTCGTCTCACACGATATCGTGTCGTCTCACACGATATCGTGTCGTCTCACACGATATCGTGTCACACGATATCGTGTCGTCTCACACGATATCGTGTCGTCTCACACGATATCGTGTCGTCTCACACGATATCGTGTCGTCTCACACGATATCGTGTCACACGATATCGTGTCGTCTCACACGATATCGTGTCGTCTCACACGATATCGTGTCGTCTCACACGATATCGTGTCGTCTCACACGATATCGTGTCGTCTCACACGATATCGTGTCACACGATATCGTGTCGTCTCACACGATATCGTGTCGTCTCACACGATATCGTGTCACACGATATCGTGTCGTCTCACACGATATCGTGTCGTCTCACACGATATCGTGTCGTCTCACACGATATCGTGTCGTCTCACACGATATCGTGTCGTCTCACACGATATCGTGTCGTCTCACACGATATCGTATCGTCTCTCACGATATCGTGTCGTGTGTAACGCCACACCGCGTCGTGTGCCGTGCTACGCGATATCGCGATATCTGCGGATCTCGCACCGTTCGCGGGAAGACATCGCGGGTCCAGTCGGGGAGGGGGCGCGAAGGAGGGGGCTGCCCCGCTCCCGCGTAAGCTATCGCGGCCATCTTACTCAGGGGCCACGTCCAGCAGGGGCGGGGGGGGGGTCAGTCACTCCCTGATGACGACGTCGCCGGCATCACCCTGCGTAAGATGGCCGCCACGACATCGGCGACGCGGATTTATTATTATGTACAAATAAATGAATGTCTTATATAATAATTTATTGTACATTACTTTTTACGACCAACATTTATTTATTCATTTTTTTGTTGTCATCAGTGTGATGCCGCGCACACGGGGTACAGGGGGGTTGTAGGGGGGGGAGGGCTTTGGGGTCGTCCATAAATGACGTCACGCTATTTTGTACAATTTTTGACCCCCCTCTCTCGTCACACGGCGTCACAAAAAGTCAGACCCCCCTGAAATATGACGTCACAAAGCTCTGCCCCCCCCCCCAAAACCATATTTCCATTTTGAAAATAAAACACGCTTCAAATCGCTTTAAACTATTGTCATTGTAGTGCGTATTTAATGTGGCGCTGCACTCTGATGTTGTAGCAGTGTTATAACAATTCTATATTTATATTCTTGGTTCTTTCGGTAAAATCACGTGGAAGAAAAACAATAAAAGAATACAAATATAAAACAATTGCTTAATTGTTTTATATTTTTATATTTTTTTAAAGTCACGTAGAAGGGAAACAATAAAATTATTATTATTACCGAAAGAACCAAGAATATGAATCCCTGCAGTCACGAAAGCTTTAAATCAAAATGTAATTCTATATTTATTTAAAGTTGCGCATTTTGATGTGACGTCACATTTCTCACCCCCCCCCCCTCGTCACGCATCGTCACAAATGTCTGACCCCTCCCCTAGGTGGGTGACGTCATTTATGGACAGCCCCTTTTAGGGTGGGTTGGGGGGCTGTTGGGGTGAGGGGCTGTTGGGGTGGGGGCTGTTGAGGTGGGGGCTGTTGAGGTGGGGGCTGTTGGGGTGAGGGGCTGTCGAGGTGGGGGCTGATGGGGTGAGGGGCTGTTGAGGTGGGGGCTGTTGGGGTGAGGGGCTGTTGAGGTGGGGGCTGTTGGGGTGAGGGGCTGTCGAGGTGGGGGCTGATGGGGTGAGGGGCTGTTGAGGTGGGGGCTGATGGGGTGAGGGGCT